CTGGTGGACCATCCCATACAGGAGTTGAATCGAGTCTTCCGCTTCATGGGAACTCAGCCGAACAACAAGGTCATGACCTACCTGAAGCTCCACTCCGGCCTGGACCAGTCACCAGCTCTGAAACAAGAGTAAGCACATCTCAGGACTTAACTACTTGTGCTGGCTTATTAGCGACTCCGGGGATGCAGGGGGGAGGGGAAGTTGAGTCTCTGCTCTCCTCTTGACTTATCAGGGATGGTCGCTCTTCCTGGTCTCTTGAGTCCTCTTATTACATACCTTACCTTCTTATTCGATTTTAGTCACACTAACATCTTTGTATTAATATTCTTTTTCTCTTTGACGAACTTGCCTTGGTGTTCTTGAAGGGCTCTTGATGCACAGAACTGGAGCTCCCATATGTTTTATAACGTTTCCCCATGAATATAAAAATAATAAAGCTATAATAAAAGAATAAGAATTGGCAGAGGAAAATATTTTTCTCGCACTCTTAATGTACATCTCATTGAGAAACATACGTTGTGTTGCAGCAGGTATCTGAACACGTACAGAGACGCTCGCTACCGACACGACCACTGGAAGACGCACTTAAAGCAGCGGGAGCTAGAGCACATCCAGAAGGCGTGTGCTGATGTTATGGCTCGTCTTGGTTACACGCCCTTGCCACCAGCCTGACCCCGTCCGTCTCCTTCACGCGATGTAATCAACTTGCGCACCACTAAGATCACCATCAACGTCATTAACACCAACAAGATCACCGAAAGTGCAAACTGTAAGGACATAAATAGCTTCGGAGTTTAGAGACAAACTGGCTTCAAGGAAAAATAATTAGATTTCTCCATAATTCAATATTCTCCCTAGTTGAATATTGAACGAGTCGTAAGGCAGTAAGTTTACTGAGGTACATGATGTAAGTGTGGAGTTTTACAATTGACTTACATAGTAACATACGTGTAAACTAGCAGGATAACCCAATGTAATCAAAGTAGCAAGTGTCTTCCATTAAGTTGTAAGTCTAAATAGTAAGGGACGAAGGATCAGGTAGAATTTCACAAGGACGAGAACGAATAACATCAAGAATTAAAAGTCACAATACCGTGACTGGAAAAATACACAAATAACCCACACATAGGGGAGAGAAACTTAGGACGACGTTTCGGTCTGACTTGGACTATTAGCTAGTCAAAAACAAGAGCGCAGGGAAGGGAGCCAGTACATATACGAGATGGGGGGTGAGGCCAGGTGTAGTACAACGAGAGGCGGAAGGAGTATAATGGTGGTAGTAATGGTAGAGGTAGTGGTAGAAGCAGTAGTATTAGTATAAGTAGTGCAACAGTAGCAGAGGGAGCAAGAGAAAGGGAGTAGTGGCAGTAATACAAGAGTTAGAGAGTGGAGTGATAGCAAAGCAATATTAGCAGTAGTAGTAGTGGAGGAAGTCTAATGTGAAAAATGGAGCACCGCTGGAGAGTTAATGGTAGGACAGAAACCCAGGGGAAAAAACTCATATAAGAACTTAGAAACATATAGAAGGAACACTGCAGCAGGCCTACTGGCCCATGCGAGGCAGGTCCAAGTCTCCCACCGGCTTAAGCCAATGACTGCTAAATGGAGGCAAAATTACCAACCTAGTCAGATCAGGTCACATCCACTTAAGGAAGGAACACGACATCAGATCTAGCGCAAGCTGGTCAAGTCCAACTCACACCACTCACGTATTTATCTAACCCATTTTTAAAACTACACAACGTTTGAGCTTCTATGACGATACTCGGAAGTTTGTTCCACTCATCCACAACTCTTTTACCAAACCAGTGCTTCCTATATCCTTTCTGAATCTGAATTTTTCCAACTTGAAACCATTGCTGCGAGTCCTCTCTTAGCTAGATAACTTTAGCATGCTATTTATATTCCCTTTATTTATTCCTGTTTTTCCATTTACACCTCAATCATGTCTTCCCTAATTCTACGTCCTTCTAGAGAGTGCAGATTCAGGGCCCTCAGTCTATCCTCATAGAGAAGATCTCTGATACCTGAGATCAACTTTGTCATCCTCCTTTGTATGTTTTCCAGAGCATTTATATCCATTCTGTAATACGGTGACCAAAAATGTGCAGCATAATTTTAATGAGGTATAACCATGGATATATAGGGATGAAGAACAACCTGAAGACTCCTATTATTTATGCTTCTTGATATGAAGCCAAAAATTCTGTTCGCTTTATTGCAAACACTTAAGCACTACTGTCTTGGTTTTAGATTACTGCTATGTAGATGAATGGTTCAGAGAACCGACAAGTTGATAAATTAGACACATGTACAACACTTGGGTATTTTTAATGAGGAAACGTTTCGCCACACAGTGGCTTCATCAGCCCATACAAAGGAGAATGGTGAAGAACTGGAGAAGTTTGAGGTTATCAGTCCCTCAGCCTTGAATCGATGAAATCAATCCATCAGTCTTGAAAAGAATGCATCATATGTGCGAAGAAGTGGCTTATATACTGTGGTAGGAGAGGTGCAGCAGTCGTAGGATTTGTCAAATGTGATACTACCTACGACTGCTGCACCTCTCCTGCCTACTGTATATAAGCCCCTTCTTCGCACATATGCTATATTCTTATCAAGATTGATGGACTGATTACATCGATTCGAGTCTGAGGGCCTGATTACCTCAAACTCCTCATGTTCTTCACCATTCTCCTTTATATGGACTGCTGAAGCCGTTGTGTGGCGAAACGTTTTCTCATTAAAGATACCATCAGATTACTGCTATGACGGAACCCAATTAGGCAGAAGAAAGGGAAGGCAAAGAAAATATAGGAAAGGAGAAGAAGTAAGGAGGGAGATAAAGAGCAGGTAATGTCATGAGTATTCTGAAATTTGGAGCATTTGACTACGTAATGAGAAAGGAAGGCATCTACAGACACAGGACTAAGATAGATATTAGGAAAATTGTGTCTAAGGGATGCTTCATCAAGACAGTGACTGTGAAGGTTAGAAGAGTAGACAGTTTTGACAGAGGACCAATTAAAATGATGACTGTGGTTTCTAACATGACAGAAAAGAGCATTATTAGTGTCGGCAAGTCTAACATTCTCTTGTGCTCTTTAAGTCAGTCAGAAAGAGAGCTGCCAGTTTCTCCGAAGTACTAAAGAGGACAAGAGAAGCAGAAAATGAAGCATCAGTAGCAGGGGGAAGATGTACTAACTAGATTACTCAGAATCGTATGTTAGTTTGGCTAAAAGTAAGTTTCATATCTAAGGAAGGGAGGGCATCGTTAATGGTCCAAGTAGGACCGAAACGTCGTTATATGTTTCATTCCCCCATGAGCGGATAATTGGTATAAGATTAGCATCCTTCTGTAAAAATAATGGAAAGGAATGAGAGAATGACGCTGAGTGGAAGTTGCGGGAGAACTGTGGTGTGATGAAACTAATGTATTAACTTCCTTTCTCTCTGTCTCTTTTTAGTGAACTAGTAACACAGCTGTAAATTGGTGAATAACACTGCTATAAACTAGTAACAACACAGCTATAAACTAATGTATAACACAGCTATAAACTAGTGTGTGACAACACGGCTATGAACTACTGAGTAACAACACAGCTGTAAACTAGTGAACAAGGCAGACATAAACTAGTGAGCAACACCAGACATAAGCTAGAGAACAAAACAGACATAAGCTAATGACATCATAAACTAGTGAACAAAAACATAACCATAAGTTCTTTGGAAAGGCTGAAATCAAGGTATTTGTTCGGCAGTTTTTCTCCATACAATAATATTTATGGAGCGATTTGCATGAACTTAAATACATTTAATAGGTCAATTATTTCTGCATAACGTCGATCGGATTTTTTTTCCTCTCTTAATGTAAACGACAAATTTATGGAATCAGGAAGAGCTAACGCATTTATTCGTCTGAAAAAAAAATACAGTGACAGAACAAGCTTTCGTCATGACAACGTTTCGCTCAGTATTCGTTAACTGGTTAATTGGGATTGAACCCTCGACTACCCGAGAGTCATTACGGCTGTTCGTAAAAATGTTCACTTAGACAAGAATGTTTTTGATCCCTAAAATAGTGATTAATTTTTTCAGAATATATTACATTTTATAATTTTTATATTTATATATTTATTTTATATATATATTTATATAAAATATATATATTTATATTTATTATTATATTTATACACTATTTTTTTTATATATACATTTATTACATATATATAATATATATTTATATATATTATATTTTTATTATTATATATATTAATATATTTTCATTTTTATAAATATATTTTTATTTTTTTATTTACATTTTAATATATATATATAAATATATTATATAATATATAATTATACAATATATTTTATTTTATACATTAATATATATATATATATATATTATATATATAATTTATATATATATTATATACATTTTTAATATATAATATATTATATTTATATATATATTTATATATATTTACAATATATTATTATTTATTTATTATATATTATATATATTATTATTTGATATGTATTTTATTTATTATATTATATATATTAATACATATTATATGCATATGTTAATATATAATTATATAATATATATATTATATATATATATATAATATTATATTTTATATATTTTATATAATATTTTATAATTTTATATCATATTGTAAAAATTATTATATATATATATATATATAAAATATATATATATTATTTTATAATTTTTTTTTATTATTAAATTTTTTTTAATATAATTATATATATTATTTAAATTTTATTATATAATATATATAATATATATATATATATTATATATATATTAATATATATAAAATTATTATTACATATATATTTATATATAATTATTTATATATTTTTAATTTTTATTATATATTTTATAATTATTTTTATAATCTATTATTTTTTATACTATTAAATATAACATATATATATTTTTATACATATTTATATATAATATTACATATATATTATACAATTTTTTTAATATATATATATGTATTGTGACTGTGACTGTGAAACAAAAACCTGTAATGTTTTGCTGAGGTAGGATTGCTGGTTTTTTTTTGTCTCAAAACACGCTAGAAAACAGGATATCTTGCTACCCCCTTTTACATTTTGGGTCCACTTCACAGAACGCAATGCAAAATAAATATATAAAATACATCTAGGTTTTTTTCCTTTTTTAAATAGTTTCTTGTTCTTTTTTTTTTCTTCATTGTCCAGGGGGAGTGGAAAAGAACTTTCCCTAACCCAGCAGTCGTTGAGGCGACAAAATGCCGGGACAAGGGGCTAGTAACCCCTTCTCCGTATAAAATTTTACTAAAAAAAAGAAGAAAAAAATTTATAAAAACTGGGTTGCTTAAAGGGCGGGGATGTAGTGCGGTGACAAAAACGTGATTGCTGAGTTATGAATAAAAAAGTTGGATGCCCTGGCCCTAAGCGAAACAAAGCTGAGGGGGTAGGAGAGTTTCAGTGGGGGAAATAAAGGGAAAAATCGGGGAGTTCTGAGAGAGAAGAGCAAAGGGAAAGGGGGGGGTAGCAGTAATGTTAAATGATCTTAGGGAAAGGAAAAAAGAGAATATGAATGTGAAAAAATTCAAGAATTATGGGATTAAAGTAAAGGTTTGGGATGCGAGAAGTGGGTCATAATAAGCGTGTAGCCCCGGAAAGGGGGGAATCAGAGGAGAGAGAGGATTTTGGGAGTGTTAAGTGAATGTATAGGGCCTATAAAACCAAGTGAAGGTAATTGTGGTAGGGGACTTGAAGTAAAGAGGGAAACTTTTAGAAGGGGTGGTGGGGTAAGTTTGGGGTGCCAGTGTAAATGATAATGGGGCCCCTTTTGATTAAACTTTGTATAGAAAGGGGTTTATTATGGGTTAAAAAACATTTTTTAAGAAAAGGGGATAAATAAGTTACACGATAGATTTCGAAAGACAGTAGTTTTTTTGGATTATGTTTTGGTAGTAAAAGACTGTTGAGTAACTTCAGGATGAATGTTTTTTGAGGGGCCACAAATATCAGATACTTTTAGTTGTAGCTACACTGAGAGTAAAATGATGGGATAAAAGGAGAATAGAAGCATCGGGGAAGAAGAGGTAAAGGTTTATAAACTAAAAAAAGGAGGCAGTTGGGGTAAGATATAAACAGTATTGGAGGAAGATGGGCTAATGAGAGCATAGGCAATGGGGTCAAGAGGTAGGGGGGTGGGTTTTAAAAAAATTGTGTTAGAGTGTTCAGCAGAAGTTTGTGGTTACGGAAAGTGGGTGCAGGAGGGAAGAGGAGGATTGGGGGAAATGATGATGTAAAGAGAGTAGTAAGGGAGAAAAAGTTAGATATGAAAAGTTTTTAAAAGAGAAGTGATGCAAGGGGGAAAGGTTTATGGAAAAAAAAGGGGAGAATTTAAGAGATTTGGGTGAAGCAATTAAAAAGAGAGCAAATGAGAGAGTGGGTGAGATGTTTTCAACAAATTTTTGTTGAAAATAAGAAAAAGTTTTGGGAGGGATTAACAAGTTAAGAAACCCGAGAACAAAGGTTTGTCATTTAAAAATAGGGGGGATTATTAAATGGAGAGTTAGAGGTATTGGGAAGAGGGGAAGGAATATTTTGAGGAAATTGTTAAATTTGATGAAGATGGGAACTGTGATTTCGTGTATAGGGCAAGGGAATAAAATCTTGTAGGAGGAGAAGACCCGTTGTGATGTGGGGGAAGTTCGTGGCAGTAGGTAAAAAAAGGGGGGTAAGGCAGCCGGGGGATTGGGGGATAAAGATAGAAATTTTAAAACAGGGGGGGGATATTTTTTTGGAGTGGTTGGTGCAATTATTAATAAATGTAGGGAAAGGGGGAAAGGTACCTGGGGTTGGCGAGAGCATGCATATTTCCTTTGTATAAAGGCAAAGGGGAAAAAGAGGTGCAAAAATTATAGGGGGTAAGCTGTTGATTTGTCCCGGGTAAAGTGATGGTGGGTTTATAATTGAAAGAAAAAGAGTAAGACGGGAATGGATACAGATGAACAAGGAGGTTTTTGGGGAAAGGTAGGGGGGTGGGGCCCGGGTGTTTACAGTGAAAATATAAGGAACGTATTTGATAAGCAAAAGAGGTTTTTGGGGAAATTTATGGTTGGAAAAGGCGTAGCAGGGTGGATAGGGGGGCAATGGGAAATGTTGCAAGTGTATGGTGTAGGGGTAGGTTACTGAAAGCAGTGAAGGTTTTTACGGGATAGTGAGGCTAAGTTAGAGTTTTAGGAAAAGGGGGAAAATTTTTTCCCAGAAAAAGTAGGCCTTAGAAAAGGATTTTGATGTCACCGTGGTTTTTTTAATATATTTTTGATGGGGTTGTAGAAAAGTAATGCGAGGGTTTTGGGAAAGAGGCGTGGAGTTAAAAGAAAAGAATCACAAACAAAGTGGGATTTTGTCCAGCTGCCTTTGCTGAGAACTGTGCTCTTGGGAGATTCTGAAGAAGTT